CTGATCCTGTGGGAGTTATGCTCTCTCTCTCTTTGTATACTAGTGATATCTATCTGCTACAGCTTATTGTGTTTCTCAGGTTCTTTCTCAGGGGTCCTTCTTGTAATTCTCATCTTTCTCACATCATGGGACAATTCCTCATTCCCATTCTGGGGTTTTACTCCTGTCTTTTTATTGTACCCATGTTGATGGGAGATTATAAGCCAGTCATGAATATGTGTCTTACTTGATCCAACTTTAGTCTTTCCTTGGCTCCCAGTGGATGATTTTCTCACTGTTTGGTAGCTACTCTCTCTAGAGGTGACTGACCTATTTTGAAGTTTCACACACATTCTCTACATCCTGATTTTTCTACATGCCTTTTGCTTCTGCAGATTTGTCTACAGCGGTTGAACATTTAGTTCTGAACCTTTCTTTTCGAGTTGGCTATGGCCTCATAATTTTTCATTGGGTTCACTACTCTATGGACATTTTGGTCTGTACTTGCCACTTACAGTGTGCCTTCCTCTCATGTAACCTCCCTTCTCCTTTAGGAGTTGGTTTAGTGTCATTTGGGGTGGCTGATTCCATTCTCCAGTTCAGTCTTAACTCCCACCCTGTATTTCATTCACTTGAGGCTATTCTAATGTCTTTGAGACATGTAGCTTTTGATACCATGTCCCTTTCAGTGTTATTTGTTCTGCCAATGCAGATATATCCAATGGCCCAATGTCTTTTCCCCCTTGCAGTTGTGACTAATTCAATTTCACTTGACTCAGGACACCCCTCTTTCTCCACTTTACTCAGATTTGCATCTAGTTCAGAAGTAAATGTGTGGGCTCATTTTGCTTACATGTGGGGTTTCCTTATCTGTAGTGAGCACAGCACACATGGTGTGATGTGTTGCATTGTTCTTGATGATAACTAATCGTCAAAAAGTTCTTTCCAACAATGCCTTTGTTAAGCTGGAGTGCAGTTCTGGATGCCAGATCCTTTTCTGATATCTAATCTCTAGAGGAGAGGTTTCTTTATATGTGTATCCTCTAGATGGTGGCTGCTCAGCCATTAACCATTTAGACACCTCTGTTGTTTATTCCATCCCCCGACAGGGAAGCACTCACTCCTGGGACCTCTCTTTTTATGGCTTTGGACTTTCTTTGTTGGGCTCACGACCACCATGTTTAGTTATCAGTCTATCTTATCTTAGGAGCTCAGGCCCTGGTGATGGATCAATTATCTCACATAGGCATGGATCCTTCCCACTGGCATTGTCAGTGGATTTGGTCCTAGTATGGGAGTTCTAACATTACAGCCTTTCCAACTCCCCTCCCCTCCTTACTTCCACTCTTTTATTATTGAATCCCTGGCTCTACAGAGGATGCTCTGTGTCTGGTGTGGCTTATTCTCCTGTTTTGTGCTTCAACATTTTGTATCCTTATTGCTCGTGGCAGCCAATCACTCTCACTTTTGTCTTGGTTTCCACACACATTATTTACCACAGAGCAGGTTAATCTTTCTTCCTGATTAATTCTTCCTTTCCAAAAATTGGGTGGATTGGGAGGGTGATTGGATGTTTTCTCCATCCATCCTCCCTTTTTTTTTCTTCTCTGTATGATATTTTGACCTATATTGTCTTCTTTTTTCTGTGAGGTCTATTTATTTTTATCTTTGTGCTGCTCTTATACAGGGTACTTGCCAACATCTTCTCTTGCTGTGGGATTCCTCTTCCTTTAGTAATTTATCTCCTTCGACTGTGCTCGGGAGAATTACACATCCCATCATTCTAGTTTATTCTTCTGGGGGCGTAGAATATTTTCTTATTTTTCTTGTCTCCTATCATTAAGTTTGTTATCTCACAGCCTCTCTTACCTTTAGCCATTGACATCTTCTGTATGAGATCTTGCAGGTGGACATTTTAACAACATCCAACACATTTGTGCCACATTTCTTACACCACAGAGAGATATCAATTACCCTGGATTTTGTCTCTCTCAAAACCACTCTATTCTAAATATATTATTTAGATGATAAAACTTACCATATGGCCAGTTTTGCTTCAAAGGGAATACTTTTCTTCCAAAATTCATATTGAGTAGTGGATTACAGACAGTGTTAAGCCCACTTTCCTTTGCTCCTTCACACTTTTTAGATAGGGCTTTCTGACTTATAGCCCTAGCCACACTACACACCAATGCTCAACTGACTGCCTGTGAGGTAGTGGTCAGTTGAGCAGTTTTACATTTTGCTCATCTATGCAACACTTTGGCACCACTCAGGAGAACCTTTTAACATTACCTTTTGCAAAGAGTTACTCCCTGTTTAAGATGGATGTGGTTTCTCACCAAGTGATGCCCCACTAGGCTACTAACCCCCTAGTGGGTGACACACTCAATTGGCTTTCCGTTTCTGACATTGTGATTTCAGATAAGGGCTAATCTCTATAATTTCTTTCTCTACACTGTCTCTTCTACCATTTTCAATGTTTGTTGTATAGAGAGAGATGAGTAATGTTTATAAAGTTAACATTTTCTTTATCTGAAAATGCATTTCTGATAGATACTCACATCTCTGCACAACCTCCCATTCTTCCTCTGTACGTGTACTTTGTTCAATCTGTATATATATATCCGTGTCTGTGTAAATTACTTGTGCCTGATGATGACAAAACCTTGTCGAAACGTTGTA